CCCGTGTCCCCTGCATCGGCAGGTGGACTCTCAACCACTGCGCCACCAGGGAAGCCCCATTAATGCTGACTTTTAAATTTACCTATGCAGTTACCTTTACCACTGGCTTGTTAATTATTTTGTGCATTTGAGTTACTGTTTATTGTCCTTTCGTTTCAACCTGAAGGACTCCCTTTAGCATTTAGTGTAGGGCAGGTCTGCTAGGGACAAAATTCTCTCAGTTTTTATCTGTAATGTCTTAATTTCTCCTTCATTTTTGAAGGATAGTTTTGCTGGATATAGAATTTTTTGGTTAACTTGTTTTTCTTTCAACACATTGAATATATCATTCCACTGCTTTCTGGCTTTCATTATTTCTGCTGAGAATTTAGCTGTTAATCTTGAAGATCCCTTGTATACAATGACTCATTTTTCTTCTGCTGCTTTCAAGATTCTCTCTTTGTCTTTGCCATTTGACAGTCTGACTATGATGTATCTAAGTGTGGGTCTCTGAGTTTATCTTACTTGGAGTTTGTTGAGCTTCTTGAATGTGTCAGTTACTGTTTTTCATCAAATTTGGGATGCTTCTGGCCATTATTTCAAATATCCCTTCTGCCCATTCCTCTCTTCCTCTTTTCCTTCTGGGATTCCCATTATGCTATGTTGGTACACAGTCTCAGAGCTCTGTTCCTTGTGCATTTCTTAAAAATTCTTTTTTCTTTCCATTTCTCAGAATGTATAATCTCAGTTGATCTATATTTAAGTACACTGATTCTTTTCTGATAGCTCAAACCTGCTATTAAGCTCCCATTGTGAGTTTTTCATTTCAGTTAGTGTACTTTTCAACTCCAGAATTTCTATTTTTTTATATGTATGATTTCTATCTCTTTATTGATATTCTGTTTGTCAGGACCTTGTTCTCATACTTTCCTTTAATATTTCAGACATGGTTTCTGTGAGGGGAGGGTCCAAGTTCAGTCCATGCCTTCCCTTCTGTTCCCAAGAAGCTCTCTGTGCTCAGTGCAGGACATGCTGGCAAGCTCACAAGCCACACTGCATGAAAAGAGCTCAGAGAGCAGTCAGTACGTACCTGTTCCCTTTATCTGGAGCACATGTAAACTTTCTCAGAACCGCTTAGCCATGCATGCGTAAATGGCCCACAGGTACACCCCCAACTTTGTGTATTTCAGACTCTAAGGGGTAAGAGTTGGCACAAAGTGAGGCGAATGCAGCCATGCTGCCCACTGCAGCTGCCAAGTGGACCCACGAGCCATGGGGGTCTGCCACACCTCCAGGAGGTGGATCTTGTGTACTCTCTCCTCTTGAGGTAGGTACACAATGTACCATTGGAGCCTGCATGCCTGTTGTCTGCTCTCAGTGGCCTTGAGTCATGGTCATGCACTGGCCTCTTCCCTGGCTGGCATTTACCTGCCTGTTAACTTTGGCCACACTCACGTTCTGTTCTGTCCTCTGGCACAGTCTAACCACCTACAGAAGCAGTGTCCCTTAGTATTTTGAGCCTATTTGAATCAGCTGACTTAAAGTCTCTGTCAGCTAAATATACCCGTGCTTCCTCGGAGACACTTTCTATTGATCGCTTCCTTTCCCTGTGTATCAGCCATACTTTCCTGTTCCTGTTCCTGTTCCTCATAATGTTTCTGTTGATAAACTGACATCTGAAATAATACACTGTGCCAATTCTGGAAGTGAGATTTTCTCCCTCTCCCCAGGGCTTGTTGCTCCTGCTTGTTTTGTTTTGTTTTTCTCTTTGTTGTTGCTTTTTGTTTGTTTGTTTGTTTTTGGTGGTGGTGGTGGTGATGTTGCTGTTGTTTACTTTCCTGGACTAATTGTTTAAAGTCTGTCATGTGTGCCCCCTGAATTTTCTGTTTGGTTAGCTTAGTGGTCAGCTAATGATTGGACAGAAATCTCCTGAAATGCCTCAAATCCATGTGTTTTCTGGTCTTTGTTTGTGTCTAGGCATACCTTCAATGCCCCAGCAGACAGTTTACAACTCTGCCTTAGCCTTCGTTTCCTGCTTTCATGGAGCTTCAAGGTCAGCCAAAGGTCAGAGATTAGGACCTTCTGGGGCCTTGCCTGGGCATGTGCACAGCACTGCACGTGTGCACAGCCTTCTAGATTTCTAGGCCTATGTTAGAGCTTTTTGAAATCCTCTAGAGACATGTCATTTCCCAGTTTTTTCCTTAAAGATTTTTGGTCAGCTTCTTGTTTGCGCCAACTTGTATTGCCCTCCTCCCCCCAGGCGACTGTGATATTAAATGATTGTTGTTTTTGACGGGTGCTTGTGAGATAGAGATGTTCATACAGAGTCAGGTCAAATAATGACAAGCCCTGAGAATGGAGATTTTCCAGGGATTTTCAAGACAGATCAAATAATGAAACAAAACAAAAAGATAATCTACTGAATGGGAGAAAATATCTGCACGTGATATGACCAATAAGGGATTAATATCCATCATATATAAACAGCTCATACAACTCAACATCAAAAAACAAACAACCTGATTAAAAAATGGGCAGAAGACCTGAATAGACATTTTTCTAAAGAGGAAATGCAGATGGTCAAAAGATATATGAAAATATGGTCAACATCTCTAATCATCAGGGAAATGCAAATCAAAACCACAATGAAATATCACCTCACACCTGTCAGAATGGCCATGATTAAAAAGAACACGCTAATAAAGATGTTAAAAAAAGAACACAAATAACAAATGTTGGCAAGGATGTGGAGCAAAGGGAACACTGGTACACTGTTGGTGGGAATGTAAATTGGTGCAGCCACTATGCAAAACAGTATGGAGGTTCCTCAAAAAATGAAAAATAGAGCTACCATAGGACTCAGCAATTCCACTCCTGGGCATATATCTGGAGAAAACTATGATTCAAAAAGATACATGCACCCCAGTGTTCATAGCAGCACTGTTTACAATAGTCAAGGTATGGAAGCAACCTAAGTGTCCATTGATAGGTGAATGGATTAAGATGTGGTGTATATATACAATGGAATATTACTCAGCCATAAAAAAGAACGAAATTTTGCCATTTGTGACAACATGGATGGACTTGGAGGGCATTATGCTCAGTGAAATAAGTCAGACAAAGACAAATACTATCTGGTATCACTTATACGTGGAATCTAAAATATATAAGAAATTAGTGAATATAACAAGAAAGAAGGAGACTCACAGATATAGAGAACAAACTAGTGGTTACCAGTGGGGAGAAAGGGAAGAGGCAATACAGAGGTAGGGGGGGAGTGGGAGGTACAAACTATTAGGTGTAAGGTGGGCTCAAGGGTGTACATTCGACACAGAGAATATGGCCAATATTTTGTAATAACTGTACATGGAAATTAACTTTTTAAATTGTATAAAAAATTTAAAAATTAAAGTTAAAAAAAATAAAGAGCTGGAGTTGGGATTTGAACCCAGCCAGTTACACACACACAGACACAAAATCAAATATAACATTTCTCTAAGTAGGAAGCTTTTCAAGGCGCTTCAAACTTGTGTTTCCCCTTCAGTGACTGGTCAGCTGCTAGTTTTCACAGCTACCATGGTTGTGAGGCTATTGGTTTTTTCAAGGCTACCTTGAAGCTGGAAAGAGAGGATGGGAATAGAGCAATTTTAATTTAAATTTAAAATGTCACACAGATCGTGTTTCTAAGATTTAGCCATTTTTCTTAAATACGTGCTCCATGGATTACTGAAAGCATTTGTGCATTCATTTCCAATGTTTTGAAAAAGGTGATTTTGACAATTTTTGCCACTGTTCTTATTTCTTTTATGGAGGAAATATATTTTTGGAGGTCCTTACTGCACCATTCCTGAAGTGGTTTCCAAACTGAATTCTTTTACAATGAAACAAAGACTCACTATTTAAGGAAAAATCGTCTGTGCCTTCTGTTTCCACTCCATTTGCCCCTGCTCCAAATGCTGCTTGGTGTTGCTTTTACTTCATCGTGATGGTTCTGACCCCAGCTGACAGCAGCCTCCTTCCTGAGATCAAGTCACCTCTTTTCAGACTTCCTAGTAAGACTTCCAAGAAGCATTCGTGATTGTGGACACTGTCCTCCTCCTGGCTTTCTACTGGGCTTTCAAAGCTCTTTTCTTTCTGTCTCTCCTCTTACTTCTCATATTACTTCCTCTACTTTTCTTCTGGAATAATCTTTTATTCTTTTGGCTCCTTTATCACTGGTATTCCCCAGGATTCCATCCTTGATTCTCATCTCCCAATATACAACCACCCATCTCCAAATCGGGAAATAGCCTTTCTATCTGATGATCCAACCAACAATATACTTATGTGTAAATTTTTTACTTTCAGCTCTAAAAATCTGAGTACAAATCCCCGGCTTCTCACTGAACCTAGTACCAGGAATCTCATTACTAATAATGATAACTGTTTCTAGCATTCATTGAGATATATGAGGTTCCAGACACTATGCTAGATGCTTGATATGTATTACCTCTCTCTAATCTTTATTATAGTCCAACGTGATAGATGTCATTTCCTGCTTTTTACCTCTGAAGTTAGACTAAGTAATTTATCCAAGATCAAACAGTTAAAAAGCAGTAGAGCTGGGAACTGCACTCAGAGTTGTCTGATTCTAAACGTATATAATTACCTCAGCTGTAAAATGGGGATCATATTGTAATACCTACTCTTTATAAGGACTAAATGAGTCAATACCTAGAAAGCACTTAGTATCTGGCCCATAGTAAAAATTCAATAAAATGTTGGCCATTTGTATTTTAATTATAGGATGCTGCCTCTCAACTCATCTTGCCATCTCCCCGTTTTCTCTCTTCCCCCAAATAGACCCTCTTCTTCCTGCATTCCCTTTTTCGTTCAATGCCATAACCGTTTCCCCAGCCACCCCCAGAGAGGCACACTAGAACTGCCTTGGACTTTCACATCTCCACCACCCACCCACATTTTGTTGGTTGCCAAGCCTCGTGGAACCTTTCTCTAAACGACCTCACCATCCCCGTCTCTCACTCGGGCTCCTGTCGGTGTGATTATTCCAATTTTACTTAACGTGCCTTTCTTCTTCGGGCTTTCCTTTCTCTGCTCTGCCCGCTCAGCGAACAGTTTTCAACAGCTACTACGTGCCATGTATTCTTTCTATCACAGAGATTTAATTATATCGCTTCCTTACTTAAAAATTTGAAACAACGCTTCGTCGCCTACAGAACTAAGCACAAAACCTTCGTCGGGAATTCGAAACACTGCACCATCCGGCCCCTGTACTGCATCCCAGTCTCACCTCCTGTCACACCCCAAACCAGCGCCCTGTGCTTCAGCCACGCAACAGTCTTCCCTCTGCACACCAGAAAGGCTCACTCCTCCGAGCCTTTTTTTTTTTTAATGGTATGATTGCTTTTATGTAAATAATAAAAGATTCATACATATAATAGGTTGGGATACTCATATTTTTTCACAAGTAGGATACATACAAAACTTAAAGGAAAGAAATTGACGGGGGTGGGGTGAAGCGAGATTAAGCTGTTCATTTTACTCCTTTGTGTACTGTCTGAATTTTCTAACCAAACACATCTATTAGTTCCATTTATATTTTTTTAACAGCTTTATTGGAGTATAATTGCTTTACAATGGTGTGTTAGTTTCTTGCTGTATAACAAAGTGAATCAGCTACAGGTATACGTATATCCCCATATCTCCTCCCTCTTGCGTCTCCCTCCCACCCTCCCTATCCCACCCCTCTAGGTGGTCACAAAGCACCGAGCTGATCTCCCTGTGCTATGCGGCTGCTTCCCACTAGCTATCTATTTTACATTTGGTAGTGTATATATGTCCACGCCACTCTCTCACTTCATCCCAGCTTACCCTTCCCCCTCCCTGTGTCCTCAAGTCCATTCTCTACGTCTGCGTCTCTATTCCTGTCCTGCCCCTAGGTTCTTCAGAACCTTTTTTTTTTTTTTTAGATTCCATATATATGTGTGTTAGCGTATGGTATTTGTTTTTTTCTTTCTTACTTCACTCTGTATGACAGACTTTTCCTTATGGATGGGATTGCTTCCCTGGTTCCACCTCCAGGCTCACCTTTTGATTTCCCACCCAGCCTTAAAAATGCAGCTCAAGCTACCCCTCCTACAGAACATTCCTGATTGGCTATCTGACCTTCAACACTGTTTACACATTGTTCACTCCTACTTTACTTGGCGTCTTGCAGAAAGGGAAGGAACCCTGTCGTACTTTTTTGGGTCTTCAGTGTCTAGCAGAGTTCCTGACATAGAACACGTTTCCAGTCGAGTTTGCTTGCTTCTCTCAAGGTACCCAAAGATGGTCAGTTGTTACCTCAAGGCAGAGAGCCTGTGACTGCATGGGTTGGAGGGTTTGCAGAGAGGTGGGATTGAGTTCAAGTTCACACTCTCTTTTGCTAGTTGAATTTTTTAAACTGTGAGCATGTAATTTTTTTTTTATAATAAAAGATGTCTAAATGTTGCTTAAAAACTGTTGGTTGTTCGGAAAATGATCAAAATTTTCCTAGCAGACTGGACAACAGAGAAATAAGGTCAGAAGATAAAATAGACTCCAGCACCGAGTTAGGAAATGACTGGCTGGGACTTGCTTATATAACTGTCTAAAACCGATGGGACAAACTGAACTTTGATGTTGACACTTGTGCCAGAAAACATACTCCGGGTGGCTGAAGAGCAGCCCTTCGAGGGCAGTGCTCTGCTTGGTCTTCTGGGTTCCCACCTTTTTGTGTGAGCTGGGCCCGCAGGAGACTCCAGGGCAGCCACCTGGATTCATGACCCAACAGTCTTGTCCAGGAGCAAAGCTTTTTCTACTGTTTGGACATCTGGGTTCCCTCTGGTTGAGTGAAGACTGTTCTAATAAGTGGTAAAATGACTGTCTCTTGGATTCCAAAGTTCAGGAAACAAATCGCCGACTGTTTAAGCCCCAGTGAGTCAGTCTGGCTGCCTTATACATACCTGGCGACAGTTACTCACTAGAGTTTCAATAGAGAAGGACGTGGAAACTTCCTCCTGGGCTCAGCATTCTCCTTGCAGCATTGTGAAGTGATGTAACCCTGTGCGTTTCTAGCCTGTGAAGAGGCCTGGGGCTGTATCCGTGTAGCGACTTAAACGCACCACTACTTAGTTCCCCAGCAAGCTAGTTCCCCTAAATGTTTGCTTTCTGGCAGGGTCATTGATTTCTGCTCTTTCCATTTCCGGAAGTACTCAAAAGCCATCGATGGCTCAATGGAAACTTTTGAGAAACACATTCCGAAACCATTTGGCAGGATCCTTGCTTTCTTGGAGAACAGGCCTTCTATAGAACATTTGCAGGAAAATAAGACCCCAGTTTTTAAAAGATCTCTGCATTTACGGTATAGTCCACACCTAAAGTCAGAATCTTGCCAAGGATACAATTAGGGCTTTCATGATGTTTAAAACTGTGTTTTTCTCTTCTGAACTGGTCTTCTGCATTGATGGAGTGGGTGTTACTGCTGACACTGGCAGCCACATATGTCCAGTGATTTCAGAGACAACAGCCAGAGACCAGGGTTCCTCCCGAGCACACAGTCGGAGGAGGTCATATAAAGCATCATCCCCTGAGCCTTCTCAAGAGAACTTATCTTGGAGGGGTGGTGCCACAGAGGCGGACCTGGGAAGATTGGGGCGGCTGCAGGTCGGTGTTAGCTGTGTCATCATTTAGTTAAGTCAGACCTCATTTCTTACCCATTGACCTTCCTTCTCTCCCTGCCCTAGAGAATCATACGTGATGCCCTAGAGAATCATACATGATGCCCTAGAGAATCATACGTGAGGACGTTGCATCTTACTTTCAAAAGACACCGTCTTAATCCTCAGGTAACAATTACTTGATCCTGGATCAGCAGCTGTCATGGAGATGATTAAAAAGCATGAAATTATCTTGATGTTTCATGTTTGGACAAAGTGAGTGCACGACTATATTTAGCAATTTTTAAAATATAAGTTTTAATGCAACTGGAATTTATCCTAGGTTGTTTGTTGCCCAGGAGATTCTTGTTGAGTGGAAAGAGAAAGAGGCTTATTTAAAAAGCTAATTCTTGGGCTTCTCTGGTGGCGCAGTGGTTGCGAGTCCGCCTGCCGATGCAGGGGACACGGGTTCGTGCCCCGGTCTGGGAAGATCCCACATGCCGCGTAGCGGCTGGGCCCGTGAGCCATGGCCGCTGAGCCTGCGCATCCGGAGCCTGTGCTCCGCAACGGGAGAGGCCACAACAGTGAGAAGCCCGCATACAGCAAAAAAAAAAAAAAAAAAAAAAAGCTAATTCTTAGTAATTCATACCCAAAGCTGCCTATAAAGACTTGTCTACAAGATGCCGACCTTCCTTCTTTAATGTGCAGTCTTCAAGATGCTGGGAAAATCAAGGTTCTACCTCTGAGTGATAACTTAACCAGTTTACAATAAAGGTCCAAGGTTAAATGTAACTGAGTGATTAGGACAATGTGTGGAGATGTACAGCCTCAAAGATGCAGAAGCCGCCTGCATGACTGGTCAAGTCTTCAGACAACAAGAGTCTGAACCCGAGTTTTTTGAACAGAGATTAGTATGTGCTCATCCGTGTCCCAGGTCCCTGGAGACCACGCAGAAGGCTAACAGCGTATGTAAGAAAGACACATGGCACGGGACCAAAACATCAGTGCATGAATCCACAATTGCTTATTTACCTCTGTACCTGTCAACAGCTACTAAGAAGTTATTTGATTGCAATAAACTTCCAGTGTTAATCATTCATGATGAAATGCAGAAGAACATTTTTTTTTTTTCTTTCGGTACGCAAGCCTCTCACTGCTGTGGCCTCTCCCATTGCGGAGCACAGGCTGCGGACACACAGGCTCAGCGGCCGTGGCTCACGGGCCCAGCCACTCAGCGGCATGTGGGATCTTCCTGGACCGGGACACGAACCCGTGTCCCCTGCATCGGCAGGCGGACTCTCAACCACTGCACCACCAGGGAAGCCCAGGAGAACATTTTTATGCCTGTTTGAATCTTTTACTCTTGTTTAGTAGTTCTCTCCTTGCCCAAATAACAAAAATGCCTACGATCAGTTTTACACCATTAACAATTTGAAAACAAACTTATTAAATGGGTCTGCATATCTATGGGCACAAACTATTTTGCAAAGTAGATAGAATTATTTATATTTATAAACAAAACTGTGTGATTCACATTAGCATGAGACATACCACCTCAAGGATGAAAATGAAATTGCTTCCCAAAGAAATATTGGGGAAAACACAAGCGATGCATCCCCAAATTGCCACCGTCCACCATTAACTATTTCAGACACAAGAACATTGCTTGAATGCTATTTTCAAAAGACAGAAAGAGATAACTAAATGTAAGAATATTTATTTTTCCTTTAAGTAGAAAAAAACCCACTCTCTTGGGCTCTCTTCAAGGAGGAGAGCATCTAAGGCTGTGCAGTTCTGTAAAATTACACACACCATATGCTTCAGACCTCAAATTGTGATTATTTTGATTGGATTTATTGCTTTTATTCCATAGGAGACACAACCACTTTATTTGAAAGACTTGTTAAATATTCTACCACTCGGCTGGAGTAAAGAATTTATTGGAACAAGAGAGGTCTTGCATGACCCTCAGCGGACAAACACTTCTTCATTGCTTTGCCAGCTTGTCTTCCCCGAGCTCCAGGATGTGGAGCTCACGGCTGGTTGCACTTATGGATGTCAGCTGGGCTTCCAGTCACCCGGGTCATGCCGTCGAAGTCAAACATGCCGTCTTCCTGTGCCTAATAACACACTCCACGAGGTTCTTGTTGCCAAGAGTTGTTCCACAACGTGGGCCTACACAGAGTTGTTTACTGACTTTCGTTCAGTATTTTAAATGATTTATATGAAGTGACTATCACTTGTGCTCACTCAGAGGCAGCTGTCCAAAAGCTTTCAGCAATGCAGCGTGTTAGACTGTCTGGGGTCACCTGTGACGAATGTTGAATGGAATTCCTGATGTTGCTGGAGATGCGGGCGATTTTTTGTAGGACATCCAGGAAGTCCTGCCAGTTTCAGCAGCACGGGGCATCTCTCCATGCTGGTGCTTGCTGGGTGACACTTGCTTTTTTTGCATCCAGATCAGAAAACCACAAGGGGAAGAAAGGGCAGCAACATGTATTTCAGCTGTGTGGCAGCAATCCTGGGGAAGGCTGGTAGGGAGAATATAACAGTATTGACTCAATTTAGCTTTGGACATGCTTATCTATCCAGATGGTGAAGCCTGACCTTCATTAACTAAGGATAAAGTTGATAGAATTTCATCTTAGTTCCTTTGGAATCTAAGGATATAGAAAATTAGACAAAATGGTTCAAAGAGCCTCAAGGACCCATCACCATCTTCAAACGCTATCAATTTATAGCCAGTCTTATTGAATCTCTATCTTACTTACTAATCCTCCCTCCGCCAAGACATCGACTCTCAAAGATATAAAAACTATTTTTGCTAACATCATCACAATGCCATTATTTCTCCTAAAATTATAATACTTTCACCAAATATTCAGCATTCAAGATTCTGGCTAGCTCATCAATGTTATGACTTTTTTATCAGCCTGTTTGTTAGAAACAGAAGACATGTAAGCTTCACACCTGTAATTGCTTAAGGCTTTCAAGTTTCCTTTAGTTCATAGGTTCTCTCCATCTCTATTCTCCTCTACCTCCCCCTCCTCTTCCTCCTTGTCTTTCTCCTTCTCACTATTTGTTGAAGAAACACAATTTCTACAAAAATGGTGTTTCCATTTGTCCTATGAAATTTCCCACATCTGACCTCTCCAAGTCGTCATTTAACATTTTCCGCCATCATCTTATTTCCTATACAGTGTTGGTTGGATTTAGAGGCTTGATCTAAGTCAGGCTGGGTTTTGGGGGCAAGACCACCGCGTTAGTTTGCTAGGGTTGCCAACACACAGTGCTGCAGACAGGCAGTTGAAGAGCAGAAATGTAGCATCCGCCATTACAGAGGCTGGAAGTCTGAGATCTAGGGGTCAGCACGGCTGGTTTCTCCCGAGGCCGCTCTCCTTGGTGTGTGGACGGCTGTCTTCTCCCTGTGTCTTCACATGGTCTTTTCTCTGTGTGTGTCTGTGTTCAAACCTCCTCTTCTTATAAAGACACCAGTCAGATTGGATTAGGGCCAACCTAATGACCTCATTTTAATTTAATCACCTCTTGGAAGACACTTTCTCCAAATGCAGTCACGTTCTGAGGTACTGGGGGGTTAGGACTTCAACACAGGAATTTCGGGAGTGAACAAGTCAGTCCATAATAACTTTCCAGGTAGTTGTGTGCCCTTCCATCAAGATGTATATATATAATATCGGATCGTTTGTCTTTTTGTGGGTTTGGCAGTCGCTCATGATCAATATCTAGGTTCATTCACTTGAGTTTGCAAAGTGGTGATAGCCTAATTCTGTTGTTACTTCTTTATGTATTAGCTAGATTCCTTTTTTTTCTCTTTTTTTTTTAAGTTGATTCATCTTCTCTTTGGTTTGCAGTGGTACACTTTGTATTAGAAAGGCAGAATTAATATTTGATCCTTTTCGTTTATTTACTCATTTTCAAAATAATAGGTTGGTTCATTGGAATCCTCCAATGTGATCAGTCTGTTGAGGCTTTTTAACTGACACTGTGAACTCATGGATGTTCACGTCTGTGTGTATGAAGGTGTGATGTATGTTAATCCACTGCAGTTATTACCTTTCCCTCAAGTTGTCCTATGTTTGGCCAGTGGGAGTCTCTGCAAGCTTGGCTTCCAAGTCCCTCAGACAGGACTGCAGTAGTCCTGGAGAGCTTCCTTATCTGGTACAGCATGATGTGCCAGGCTCATGTTTTCCATTTCCTCTCCAGATCCGAGCAGCTCCGGTTCCTTTTAGTGGAAAAGGTGCTTGAAGAGCAGAATCTGAGCACTAGGGGAGCTCACGGCTACTGAGTTGATTTCTACATCTAGGCCTTTATAGTGAGTCGAACTATGAACCAGCTGTACGTAAACATCCATCATCATACATATGTGTACATATATAATCCCAGTCAAATTCAGGGTTTGCTTTATCTTAACATCTGTCTTTCCTCTTTCCCACTCCAAGAATCCTGGCCTCAACCACAGCAGGAATGATTAAATAAGAACCCCACGTTGCTGTCCATTTGCTTTCACACACGACACGCGCACAGCAGAGTCAGACTCGCACAGCTAACACGCCCACCAAGCTTTCTGCAGCTCTTTCTGTCCTTAGATTTGTACTCAAATCACTGTGCTTTACAATCCCTGGGAATATTTCCTCCCTGTGGGTTAAACCATCAACTGGGTACATATTTAGGGTGTTTGTTTTTCATTTTATATTTAAATACATTTATTTTATAAATAAGAACTCAGATATGAGGTGCACATCTTATATGTCTTACGTAAGGTGAGACACGCACATGGTTTCAAAGCCAAACCAAGTGTGGCGCCAGCAGTGCCTTCCTGTTTTTCTCGTCGCCCTATGTGTCTAAGCCAGAGAAAGGGTTGGGTTTGTGTGGTGGCGGATTTGGAGGAGGAGGTGATGCCTGAATCGTGTCTTACTGAACAGCTGTAAAGAGTGACTCCGATTCTGGGAGAATCTGTCTCGAAGGCCTTAGGGAAGAAAACATTTGTTCTGCCACCCACCATGTAATTCTTCTTTGAATTTTAATGCGTTAGCCTTTAGGCTGCTAGACAGAAAACAGCCGCTGTGTTCTGTTTAAACTCGGCCATCTTTCTACTTTGCTGTAGAGGCTAGAAATGAGAAGGTTTTGTCAAGTATATGGTTATGCACTCCAAAGTAGTTCGTCTGGATCTGTGAAGTTCCATCTCGTGATAACATCTTGGAGTCTAAATATAGCAGTATTATCTAAAATAGATAAGCAACAAGGATGTATTGTACAGCACAGGGAAATTCAGCCATTATCTTGTAATAACTTTAAATGGAGTATAATCAATAAAATTTTGAATTACTTTGCTATACACCTGAAACTAATGTAATATTGTATATCAACTATACTTCAATAAAACAATAAAGCATAGTGTAAAAAAAGAAAGATAAGTATATTTTTTTAAATAAAACAAATACAGGAGTTTTAATGGAAACAAAATTAATTAATTAATTAATATAACTGTCCTAGAAGCCAACTTCCACCCATCCTTCAAGCTCAGGGGACCTTATGGAGCCTTCCTGATGTCGCCCCAAAGTTTAGATTCCCCGACATCTGTTTCCATGACACCCGCTAGAATACTCCTATTGTAACAGGCATTGCACTTAGTCGTTACACTTTAAGTATCTAAGACACAAAGCATGGTGCCAGGCACAATTTCATATTTCTATCACTGCATCCAAATATACTCTAGTATAATTATTCGTTTAGGCGTCCCTTTCCCCCAACTATTCGATAAGCTTTCTGAGGGCAGGAACTGTGTCTTCCTTCCGCGGTGCCACACTTGTTCACAGTTGGGATGGAATAAAGAACAGAAGAGATACTATTGGATATAGAATTAGAATAACAGAGGCTAAACCCAGCATCCTCTCGAGGATCATATTATAAGGATGAGGCCACCCTTGAAAGTGATGGATAGCATCCTCGTAAACGCTCAACGCCGCTGGACGCTACAGTCTGACCTCTGTACCCTCAGACCATAAAACATGATGTGAACGCTGCAGCATATTCTATACATGTTGTGGCGAATCCTACAGTCATTTTGAGACTTCCTTAAAACGGGGAAAGAAGCTACCCTCCTGTGTGTCAGATCCATTCCGGATGCCTTACACGCTCACACTTCATCCTCAAGACAGCCCCACGAGACAGGTGTTACTGTTTCCCCTTTTACCGCGAACTGGGGTCCGAGAGCATCTACGTTTCACGAGATGGAGGAATTCTGCCCAACTCTGTCAGCTGCAGAAAACCTGGCATTATGAGCGGGCTTAAAAGAACAAGTGAAAAGCAGAGAGAATGGTAAATAGTGCACATCAAATGGACTGTGTGATTATTGTTCTCTTGCTTCATCTGGCCATGTGGACGGATGGAGGCCACATGATATCATTGATCTTTTGTAAACCACTTCCATAGATGTTGGTAATGAGGTAAGAGATACAGGGGCCTCGGGTTAACCTGCTGCAGCCAGTTTCATGCTGACCCTTTGAGATAAACTATCAACAGGAACGACACGCCCTGATTGGGTGAAAGACAAAGCAGCCCACCGCAGTCTCCTCATTCCCGTGGTCAAGAGGACTTCCCAGCCTGACACATGCGCAGAAGGGGTCCCAAGTCATCCTCTAGTAATCTGGGCTGCGTTGTAATATCATTATAATACCATTAGCATTGCGGTTTTGACCCCCTCCCCCCATGGGTTTCACTTGGACGCTCACGGGGAAGACTCGAAACGGTGCCTGGTGGAAGCCCAAATAAGGAATTGCAGATTATGTGATCATAGGGGAAGGAAAGGGGAGCCACCCGCATCTAAACCCCATATTAACAACCTAAGCTGCCCCTAGGAGGTGCACCTCACTGCAAGTTTGCCCCTGTGCTCTCCCACACGCACTGTGCTTCTAATAAATGCTGGGCCTGCTTTGCAATCTTGGTGTCTTTGTTGAACTCTTGCTTCAGAGAAGACAAGGACCGAGTTTCACCAAAAACAGTAATATAAGCATGTTCGAAACGACCACGGTTGGGGCATGTTTATGGCTTTGAAAAACTGAATCTAAGCGAAATAAAACATTCCAAACACCTGTAACACATCTTGTCCTTGTTTTT